TTGCCCTGCTCCTGCTGGCCACACCACTCCTGAGACAAGCCAGGATGCCGCTGGCCCTCTTGGCCACCTGGGCACCCTGCTGGCTCCTATCCAGCCCCCTCTCGACCAACACCCCCAGCTCCTTTTCCGCTGGGCAGCTTTCCAGCCCCTCTGCCCCATGCCTGGAGCGTTGCATGGGGCTGTTGTGACCAAAGTGCAGGACCTGGCTCTTGGCCTTGTTGACCCTCATACAGTTGGCCATGGCCCATCGATCAAACGTTTTGCAACTCAAACCTCAGTGCTTTACATCAGAAAAGATGCATATGTAGCCACCAGTTTTGTGAAAACACCTTGGAACGCGCCCAAAATATTTGTTACTAGCAGGCAAATGAACCACCTCAGCACCTACAGAAAGCTCGGCTTTTCACTTAATGATTTTTCTGAGCCATTCAGCTCAAAAATGAAATTTCAAAAGTGATGATGTAACACATTATCTCACGTCGTTGTTCCGAGAGGCGCCAGTATAGCAAACATTTCCCATCGCTCACCTTGTATCTTTGGTCTGCTTCCTCGGTGTTCTCTTATCTGCTAATTTAAAAACAGAAGCCAAATCATTTTAACATTTAGAGTAACCTGTGGCCCGTGTGCTTCACATCCCCGTTAGAACTCTGAATGCAAAATATTTTTGTTATCATTTCTCTTAAACTGAGTAACAGTAGTCGGACTCTTAACACCACACAAACGCGTTTGTTCTACATCACTTGCCGCGGCTACAGAGCAGGCGGGGAGGCTATCGCCATAGCGCGTAACTGAACAAACATGGAACGCTTTTACACGCAAAAGGGGCCCATTCTTTGTGACTGTTTTTAGTTTTCTTTCAGCCGTTAAAAGTAACATACCTGGGCCGCCGAGCTGCTTCAGCTCTTCACACTAAACAAGAGATACAGGTCATTTTAGAAGGAATCGTAAAAAGCGAGGTGTTTTTTTACAAGGTTTAAGAAATCTGCTTTGGGGTTTACCCAGGCAGCTTGCACTTCTCACACCCCTCCCCAGCAAGCGCTTCTCTCCTTTCGGGACACGGGGCGTTCTTTAAGTTTCTGACGCTTGCCTAGTCCCTACAAACTCCAATCACGTTTACAATTACAGTCTCTAGGGCTTCCTTCCCTTCCTCTGACTATTTTTCATGTCGCAGCAGCACGCAGCAAAGCTGCAGAGGACACTGAATCTCATTAAATGTTCCCAGGATTTTTTTTTTTTAAATGCTGATGTATTTACCCAGAGATCGGTGCTGTCGAAGTAGCTGGATACCTTGCCAGAAAGTCTCTCAATCTCACTTGGAAAACAAAGCAAAACGCAAAGAGATGCTGTTATTTGCCAGAATGACTCCAAAGTACAAAGCTGATCAAGACATCAATTTGTCATTGGACTTCAGGCACCAGAAACTGGGACGATCTATTAATCGAGGGTGAAATGGGCTCTGCCCTTCTAAGCCACAAAGCCCCATCAGTTTGGTGCGGCTGTGTATCATTGTTACCCCACGTAAGACAATTCTCCTCCTTACTTTTCGTACTCTTCTTTCCTTAATGCCCAACCTAGGAAGAAAAAGGAATGACATGTTATTTTTGCCACCCAGACTAAAAGGTGGAGCTCTGTTTACCAACCCCCCAGCAGAACTCACTATTATTTTCATAGAATCATGGAATGGTTTGGGTGGGAAGGGACCCCCAGAGGTCACCCAGCCCAACCCCCCTGCAGGAGCAGGGACACCTTGAACCACATCAGGTTGCTCACAGCCCCGGCCAACCTGGCCTGTCCTGTCCCAGCTGGCCCTGCTAAAAAGCTTGTCCCCCCCTTCCCTCTGGCCCCCCTTGAAGCCCTGCCCGGCCACACTCAGCTCTGCCCGCAGCCTTCTCTTCTCCAGGCTGAACACCCCCAACTCTCCCAGCCTGGCCTCCTAGCAGAGGGGCTCCAGCCCTCGGAGCATTTTAGTAGCCCCTCGGATCATTTTAGTAGCCCCCCTCTGGCCCCGCTCCAACAGGTCCATGTCCTCCTTGTGCCGAGGGCTCCAGAGCTGGACGCAGGGCTCCAGGGGAGGTGTCACCAGAGGGGTTAGTAAGATGGGTACAGATTCTTCCACCGATACCTTAACAGATTTTTCTTTCACCTCAGCCTGTTTGGCTCTGAAGGAATCGGAACTACATTTCGATCCCAACTAGATTGCTTTATTAGCAGTTAGTTTTAGAAGCACATGCGATTCCTTTTTGTGCATTATTTTCCTTACGTGTTTTCGTATCAAAAGATTTTTAATAACGAATGTTCGCTCTTCAATTCCGTCTCTAACTTGTGAAATGTTAATGATGAAGAAATTCCCTGTTGGGAAATGCTGAGGTGCACTGCGGAGAACTTACCTCTTGTTTTGTATCGCAGTCTCGAGTTCTGAGGAAGAGAAAACAGAAGGAAAAGGGCCATGAGCACAAATATAGAAATGCTACCAGCGAAGCCTCTGCACGCTGGGAAACCAAAGGCGTTAAACTGATGCGCAGGACTATTCCCTGAGCGACTGCGCAAAGATGTCACGCCACAAACTGCCTACATGTTTAAATAAAAATGTAAAACGTACCGCGTTTTTCAGCTTCCTATTTTCCGCCCTCAAAGCATCGATTTCCTGGACCTGCGATAGGAAAAAAACCCGTCGTGTTGTGAACATTAAGATCAGGATCAGCTTTGCACATCCTTCACGTCAGCTTTTTTTAGGGCTGATTAAGCGTTTTGGGTATTAAAATACCTATCACTTTGCCTTTTAGTCTTTACGCTGCGTGCCGTTCTGAATTACAACATGAAATCGATGCCAAACCAATACAATCTCATGAAGTTAATAAACATTCTGCTTGCGCCGACTGTATTTCTGCCATTGCAATGTTTATGGCTTTCCAGATGCAAGTGAGAACACCAAAATACCCGATCATTTCGGGGTTAAGGATGGTTTTTTTCTTCAAATTACAATAAAGGCTGGAATGTACCAGCTACCCGATGGCAGAAATGACAGCGGCCACCAGATCTGTGCTTACACATGATGTAAATATTGCGGAGGGTCAGTGCTACACTCGCTAAATCACCCTGGCAAACAAGCTACACTCAAATCCGAGTGCCTGGAGTTAATCTGCGTGCTCAGACTAAAGGGAAGGATTTTAAGGCTGTCGCCTCCTGTATTATTTCAGAGCCACAGCTGCATTTTTCCTCCATCCAGGCCAAGGAATACTGAAAAGCCACTCAGGTGCCTGCTTTTCTCCATCCCAAGCAAAAGGATCACTTTCCCTTTCGTCCTGAACACTTCAGGGTTATTTACAAACAGGAGGCAACTTTGGCAAAACAAAGCCCTGTCTTAACACGGAATTGCTTTAACATCCATCTCTATAGCAATTGTACATATTGAAAAGCCAAACTTTCCCAGCTGACTCCATGGGGATATTTCTCAGCACTCGACTACAGTTGCTTTTTGTGTACAGCAGTTGGCATTTCTAAACCTCATCCCATTTACTCGCTAGAAAGGTAAAAGGCTGCAGCGCATACGGAGAGACAATATGAATGATATTCAGCTTAATGTGGAAGCACGGCCCTTCTGAACACCTCCGTGGCACCGTGGCATGAACAAACTTCATGTCTCCTCTCCGTACACAAACTTCACTAGTCGACGGATCGCTAACGTATTGTGAATGTCTCCAAGAATGCTTTCATAAACATTACTTACAGACTGGCTGCTGTCTAAAAAGGAAAAGATTTCATGGACAAGCCTCTTTCTCTGATCTTTATTTCTCCTATAAAATACAAAAATTTTAAGCTATATCCCTATTTCCGCAACGCATTTTGATGCATATTAAATGTAAATCAAGCAGAACAAGAGATGAACTATAAGCATGGAAGAGTTCCTTTGCGTCAGCTTTTATGAAAAGGTACTTACAAGATTTGCAAATAGCTTTCATTTCTCATCACCACCTGCTCACCGCTTTCTGTATAAAACACGCACGTTAGATGATTACATTTTTAGGAACATAATAGCCCTTTTTCAAAATTGTCACACTCAGGAATAATAATAGCAGCAGGATAAATAGCAGAGGGGCCTGTTCTTTTAAAGGTTAGGAAAATAGCTATCGGCTCCGGTCACGCCAGTTATCCCACGAAGTCAACCGCCGCGCTCCCCATCCCAAAGCCGAGAGACGCAGCGACACGGGAGCGTCCTCCCGCCCCTCCCTCTCCCCCAAACCTCTGTGGGTCTTTATAAGACATAAATTATTACAAATGTTATTTGCTTTTTTGGCATGGGCTTCAAACACCCGCCTGGATGAGTGAACAAGGGTGCTGCGGGCCAGCTTAGATGGGCCGGGGTCGGTCTGCGGGGCCACCTCGCCCAGGCCTGGACCTTCCCAGCAGGGGTCCCAGCGGGCTGGGTGGGTTTTATGGGATTCCTTCATTAAGCACAACATCGAAATGATTATTTGAATGCGCCTTTTTGCCCTGCCGTTGGCTGGAACACGAGCCTGACAGCAAGGGGCCTACCTTCCTCCTCAGGCAGCGG